AAAAAAACCTGAATAAAAAGCAGCACAAAGCATGCTGAAGAGACATGCACTGGGATTAATGTGGAGACAGGAGCAGGCAGCCTAGAGCTGCCTGTTCTCCCATCTCTATGTGCTGTGGAGCCCCTGTGCTGGGGCACAGCTCTAGACACTGCCTTGTCCTCCAATAGCCGCACTTTTAAAAGAACAGAGAGTTTGCTCTGTCCTTTGAAAGGGCAGTTGTAGATCTTTACTTAATTCCCCCACTTGTCATAGGGAGCTTAAATGCCTAACTGGATTTTTAGATTCCATTTTGAAGGTCAGATAGATGGCTAAAGTTAGTATTGCAGTGCCTCATTTGTAGGTGTCTACATCTTTAACTGAGTCTAGCCTTTACTCCTGCATCAGTCTCCACTAGCGTAGACTCTTAACACCTCTGTGAAGCCCTGTTGGTGTCAGTGGGGTTGTGCAGAGTGGACACTAGGATCAGGACTACTGAAGAAAATAAATCTTGGCAGTTAAGTATCATGCAGTATAACCAGTGGGTTTTTAATTCAATCTACAGCTTTACGTCTTGAAATAGTGTACTTTTATGATATTTAGTACATACAATCTTTAGAGCAAAATTTATTGGAGACTGTAAAATAAAATGGAATATTGTTGGGATGTATTGATCTTCCATGGATACGTCTTTTGAGGCAAGAAGAAGCTCATGTCCTCTTCTTGTTGCTGTAATTTCTATAAATTTATTGTAGATTAACAATAAGGAGGGCATTGATTTCCTTGTATTCACAAGCTTAATACTATGGTCATTTATACATGTGCTCTGGGAGCGATGGGGGGGCTTTACTTAGAGTGGCTCCAAGACCCACTCTAGTTAAAGCACCTGGAGCATCTTGTGTATTAGCAACCCTGCACTAAAAAATGGTGGCGGGGGGCACTTTAACCAAAGCTCGTTGAATGAGGTTTAGCTAAAGTGCTCCTGCTGCTATTTTTCAGCACGGGGACACTGATACACAAGATGCTGTAGTGCGGTAATTACCACGCTCCAGCAATCTTGATTTATCGAGTCTGCTCTGATGCACTGTAATTACAGTGCATTGGAGCAGCCTCCTTGCTTGTGTATGAGTGCCCAAGGTGGCTAAATTATTAACCTGATTTACAAATCAATTCGTAAATAGTCCCAGTGATGTCAGTGGGAACAGAAGTGGAATAAGGGATCACAATGTGAACAGAAGCATCTTAACTGGCAAGTAGCAGACACTGATTTGTGGAAAAAGTGCATTTTCTTTTACCATCCCAATTTAACTTTTTCCCCAGAACTGAGATGGGCAGATTATCTTTTTGTAAGTAAACTGTTATTCACTAAGAAATATGCTTTTGTTGTGCCTGAGATTTTTGACCTCTCTATTCTGATTTGTAGGTATGTGTTAACTGGATGGACAAAAAGGACAGAAAAGGCAGATTACTGTGTTGTTTTGCAACAGTCTGTTTTGAGCTTCCACCCATAAAGCCTCTTGAGCAGACTTATTGCACAGGAGCAGTTGCATGGATGCTCTAGGGTCAGGGTTTCGTTTGTTGTTATTATGGGGTTTGGGGTTTGTTTTT